TGAACCTGAAAAAATGGGTGGACGATTAGTCGCATGCAACATTATAAACTCACTGAACAGGCTGCAACAGGCTAGTTTTGGGGTCTAATGAACTGGTAATTTCAGTGGGTTTCAGCTGAAAACTCAAAACCCCTTGCAGCCAAGTATGGCTGATGGAGCAGGCCCTGAGTGCTGCACATCCAGACCCATTCAGGCTGCTACCTGCCCACTGTACAGCTGGTACAAAGCTGCTTGAGCCAACAGTCCCCCAGCAAGCTTTCCACAGTTCCCCAGAGAGCTTCATCATGAGACAGCTCCTCCTTGCTATGACAATCACAGGACATACCCTCAGACACTGTTTTCAAGCCCAGCTCCAGGTTGGGAGTTCTCAGCACAACTTGGATAAGGAACTTCCCCTGCAGATGTGTCCAGGTCAGGACCACAGCAGGTGGCACAGCTGGGAATAAGCCACAACTTCCCAGCCCTGGGACAATGTGCTACTGTCTCACTCAGCAGTCCTCAAATATTTCATGCATTCCTCTCAGCACCAGGAGGCCAGTAGCTTGCAAAACAACATGGGTCATGCTATTGAAACAGGGCTGCCTGTGTGCTCTGCCAACCCCTCCTGTCCTGGAGAAGAAGATGCCTAGTGGTTTGGTACTCTATCCATGCAGACCTTTCATCAGATAACCAAGCCACCACAGAGGAAGAGATTGCAAAGACATGGGAACTGTGACCCAGGCTGTAAAACAAACCAGTTCTGGGCCCACTTCCCCACTAGCCATGGAAGCTTGATTGCCCAAAGCTCCAACCAGCCTGGTGTAGAGGCAAGAACCATCCTCCCTCCTGTTCTGGTTTGGTGGGTTTTTTGGTAGCAGGGAAGGGTCTCAGGAGTGGCTCCGACAAGAAGCTGAGAAGCTCCCCCTGCTCCAAAACCAGACAAGGAGCCATTAGAGGGACAACAGATGCACTTCAGCGATTAAAATACAAAAGAACAGCTGAGCAGAGAAGGAGGGGGGAGAAGAGCTGAGCTGGAGGAGAGGGGTACTGGTGGTTGGTGAGGAAGAAGGGGAAGAAGGGGAAGAAGGTGCCTGAGCAGAAGTTTCCCTGCAACCCATGGCGAGATGGCAGCTGTGCCCCTGCACTCATGGAGGAACCTGGTGCAACATTCCCTGAAGGTGCCAGGAGGGGTGAACTTGGCCAGTGGACTTGGATTTTGTGACCAGAGGATTTGCTGCCTGTGGACTCTGATTGTGCAGCTTTGGAAGACCCTGGTGCCAGGGGAGTTTGTTCCTGAAGCAGCCATGATGCTGTGGGAAGCCCAGGCTGGAGCAGCTCCGGGCCTGGTGGGAAGGACTCATGAAGGAGAGGTTCATGGAGGACTCTCTGCCATGGGAGGGACCCCGTGGGGAAGCAGGGCAGGACTGTAAGGAATCCTTCTTCCTGAGGAGGAAGGAGCAGCAGGAACCAGCAGCCTGTGAACTGACTCTAAACCCCATCCCCATCCCCCTGTGCCGCTGGGGGGAAGGAGGGAGAGAAACTGGGAACAAAGGGGTTTGGGCCCGGGAAGAACGGAGGGGTGGGGTAACATACGCAAGCCCTGCTCTTTGTGTTGTCTGTGTCCTCTGTGTTTGTGATTAGTGTGAATTAAATTATTATTTTTTCCCCAAGTTGAATCTGTTTTGCCTGAGACCTTAATCAGTGAAGAACCCTCCTTGTCCTTTGTCTCAATCCATGAGCTTTGTCCTCCTCATCCCAGAGTATGTGTGTGGGGAGTTGAGTGAGTGGCCATGGGGCTGCTCCTTTGTCGTCATGTTGGGCCCAAACCAGGGCACCACCATCCTTCTGCATCTGAGCTTCAATGAGTTGCTACGACTCAGGAGGACTGCCAGGTGGGACTCTTTCCTTCCAGAGGCACCTCCGTGCTCACCTGCATCCGGCTTCCCCATAGGGACCAGGCACCTGAGTTCACCCTGAGTTTGAGCTATTTAAAAATCAGTTCAGTTGAGCAACGAGCAAATCAAACTCACTCTTGGAGTATTCTTAGATACTTAAAAGCAAGTAGCACAGGTATTGGCATTCACCAGCACCTTCAATCTAGGGAATACCAAAAGTCACCACTCCTATGAAGGGAATTATGGTAGGTGCTGAGCTCCATGGTGACCAAAGGCAGGTCCCCATGTAATCCATTACCTTCCCCCCCAACTTTAAATTAGCCTCTAGGTTAATCCTAATGGTTCTTACAAGTATCACTGTTATTAGACTGAATTTTGCTTTAAGGCTCATCTCTGAAAATGTAAACCTTCAGAAAAGGAACAAAAACTCATGCACCCCCCTCAGGGAAAAAATAACCCAACACAACAAAAAACAAACTCAAAAAAGATCAAATAAGACATGATTAAAACTAACTTGTTTTCCTGAGTGGAGGAAACAAAGAAATCACTGATAAGATCTAAAGTTTATATGCACTTGGAAAGGCAAGGGAAAAGAGACTCAGGTCAAGGGCAGGACACATACAAAGCAGAAGTGAGGGTGATGAGCACATTTCCCCAGCCTGAACAGCACTGGATTCAGACTGGCACTCTTGAGAGATCTCTTCCCACCCCATGAGAAAGAGGACCAAACCAAAAAAAAGTAATGTCAACATTTAGCAAGCAGAGCATGAGTCTGAAACAGCAGAAAGCTTTGAGGCTAACTTGGGGTGAATGGTGGAATCCTTCCAGCCATAACAGCCAGTTTTGTCCCTTTTGGATTTTCAGTGTAAAAGGTGTTCAGCAGTTGTTTTATCAAAAGCAAGAGCCCAGGGAGGTTGTGAAGTCCCCTTCTCTGGAGACATTCAAAACCCCCCTGGATGCAGCACTGGATGATGTGCTCCAGGGGATCCTGCTTTAGCAGGGGAGTTGGACTAGATGATCTGGTAGAGCTCCCTTCCAGCTCTGAAAATTCCTTGATTCAGTGATTCTTGTTACCCAACTGGTCCACCAGGCCAAGGACAAAGCTGCCTTCTCCTGCTATCCCTACAAAAAATACTGAGTGAGGGCTTTTAACAGGTTAAATTCAGCCCCCTCTTGCCATTCTCCTTCCTCTCTCCCCCTCCCTTCCCAAACACAAACTGCTAGTTCAAGTGACAATAATGACACTTTCTATTGGCAAGACAGGCAGAGGGTTGTAATTCAAGAAGGCAGCATGATGGGGAGCTGTTGGCGCCTGCTGCTAGACAGCCCTGATGGACCCTGATAAACTGCAGGACCCATTAGCCTCAGCCAGCTCTGCCCTGTACAGATGCTTCTCAGCCCCCCTCCTCCTCCCTCCTCCACTGGGCAGCAGGCAGGGAAGAAATTCCCCCACTTGAAAAGGTTATTAAGCAGCAACAAGCTCAGTAAATCCTCATTTTCTCTTCTAGAGCCTAAATTCCAATCCAGATGTAGGGTTCAGCAAGCCAACAAGACCTTTAATTTATAGCCTCAAAAGTTGACATATGAAGCAGGAGCCTATGGCCTTAGGCCCAGTGCCAAGAAGCATATTTGGGAAAGCAAGTCACCCACTTTTGTGTTTCCTCATTATTTCCTTCTCTGCCCAAATTATTTGTTGGCCAGAGGCACAAGAACATAACTGAGCAGCCCCATAGACTGTTCCAGGTACAAACTGGTCACCTTAGTAGCTCCACTGCAGTGATGAATCAGAGGGTTTCTAAAATGAAAGATGACCTGCACATTGAAGGTCTCAGCAAAAATTTGTCAGAGAGGAGGAGTCAAGTACTTGGAAGATGGAAGAAGCCCTTGACAATAACAGTCAGACTGTGGGAATCCAGCTCCCACTTCTTGAAACACCCTGTCTAGTTGAGCTACCAGAAGAACTTTTCCTAGCTTCTAGAGATTAACATATTACCTTGCCTTCAGGTTATCCAGAAAACACTTGGCCTCTCCTCAGTGGAGCAAGGCAGAGGACCAGCTCCATTTCCACAGAAAACCATTAATTACAGCACCATCTGTGTATTCACAGCAGAAACAAGCAACAAGCCATCTGTAAGACTAAGTCTTCCTAGTTTAGGTCTGAGACGCTGGACAGGAGGTTGGCATCTCAACCAGAGATTGTCACCTTCTTACCTATGGTTTCTGAGCTGGTGTAATTTTAAGTGATCTTAGACCTCCAGAAACAAACCAGCATATCCAGTCAGCAAAGCAGATCTTCACCACCACTTTTACATTCAGAGCAGACCTTTAGCCTAGCTCTCCCAAGGCTGATCCTCAACCATCACCAAGAAAATGGGACTGTGCCATAACCAGGGAGACATTCACACCCAGACTTAATCCACTTTCATGTCCTAGATACAAGTTCTTAACCTCACTGCATAACCATCAAGACGTACTGGTAGTGCCAGCTCAGGCCTCTCTTCCCTCCTTTCTCCAAAACACTACAAGATTTCTCAAGGATGCTCCTCACCACACACACCACTCAGGAACTCCCTAGGTCACACTTTTTGTGTGATTCTAGTAACCTCACCAAGCTACAAATGTTTGTCTGGAGGTAGGGTCAGGAGCAGTGACTCGTCTCAACAGCTGCTCCCATCTGCCTGCCCTTGCTGCCAGAGGGAGGATGCCTCCAACACCATGTTCCCATGAGAGGTGGCTGCTTCCCCAGCTGTACACTTGAGCCATGGAAGCCACCAGTGCCGTGCACACTGCCAAGCCATGTCACCAGTAGTTGGCCATCCAATCCCCACCATCAGAAGAGCAGAGTTACTCTTGATAAAAGAGCTCTCAGAAAGCAAGAGTTATTTCTGTTCGTCCTAAATTCCTCAGCAGAAGCTACTCCAGGAGCCAGCCTGTGACTGCCAGGAGCTATGTTATCTGAGGTAGTCTCACCAGTGAGCTGTGGGATATCAGTAGCTGTACACTGAGCACTGGGAAACAGAGTGCCAAGGGGGAAGGAAGGAAATTCAATCCAGTGACTCAGGTTGTGGTCTCTGCCCAAAAGCCAACAGAAGCACTGACACCACTGGCACAGCAAGCCCCAAGTCATTAGCAAGAACAAGTCTGCTGGGACTGGAGCACTTTCTCCCCCCATGACTTTTAAGTGTTAAGCTCAGACTACACACACAACAGCTTCCTGCAGCTAAGGGACCACCATTTGGCTGAAAAAAATCCCCAACACTCACAAAAATATCTAAAAAAAAATAAATCTAGAGAGGATGCTACCAATCACAGCAGGGAAAGCAAGATCTAAGCCAAGATTAATTACAATTAAAAATGGGAAAGTTGCAAGAGATAGTGCAGAAGTACCCACCAGCTTCAGCCTGCCACTCCAACAAGCCCACAGAGGTTAGTGCAAAAGCCAGCTCATCCCCCACAAGATCCTGTCACCATTTAGGGCAATATTTCAGCAACACTTTGTGGCTGTAGCATTACTCCTCCTTAGGGTCAGATCAACCCAGAAAATATCCCTCTGTTGACCTCAGCTACAAGCACCAAAAGTCAGTTTGACTTAGCAGGGTCATTGGTCACATGCATGAAGCACCATCCTAGGCCTGGGTATCATCCTGGCATGCTGCATGGTTGTGGTGGAGCACACAGACCATGCCAGGAGTTTGTTGTTTGGTCTCAAACACAGGGCATCACTGATCTTACCTGAGATTCCTCAGTCCTCTTATCCCGAGGAGATTCTATGGATCCACTGATGTCCAAAGTGTTCTTCTGTTTGTATTTCCTCATGATCAAGCTGTCCACAACCCAGAACATAATGGCCTTGGGGAGAAAGAAGTTGCATGAATAGATGGCAGAGACCAAAAGGCAACAGCATTCAATCACAGCTATTTCTTCTCCTTTTGGTTGCTCTCATGTCCAGCTCTGATTACCCTAATTTAGTATCTAAATTAACCCTGCATCAAGTATGTGGGGTTAGATGGGTCAAATTGCTGAGATCACATAAATCCTATTTATTTCACAGCTGTTGAAGACCCAGTGAAAAGAATAAAGAAAATAATCATAAAAGACACAGCACAATAGGCCAAGTTTGCACCAGGAAATAGCAGGTGAACCAAGTTCCATCCCAGGTTCACTGGCCATTTCTTTGAGAACCAGAGTTTCCTCTCAAATAAGGAAATGCAGCCTGGGGTGGGAAGAGGCTGGTAGCACAGGCAGGTAAACCCAGCTCTGCCAGTGCTGCATCCCTTGCAATGTTCATGGTATAAACTGAAAAGATTTCAACTCACTCCTTGTCCAGATGGGATCTGCATATTAACACCTTGTTCTTATTTCCCACCTTTGCAGGAACTAAGCTGCAAGTCAAGGATTACCCAGAACCAGAAGAACCAGGAAAAAGCTGAGCTTTCAAGAAGTTTTACCAAACCAGATCTGTAAAGATCAAGAGTTCAGGGTAACCTGAACACTGCCTTGCTGTAATGCAATTAAGAAGTCTAGCAAAACACCCAGATTTGCATGTTGCCAAAAGTCAGGTCAATGTCAAATGCTTTGGGGCACTCCCATGCCTGTAGTTTGCTGCTGAGATGCAGCCCTCAGCTGAGGAGCTCTGCCTTTCTTCAAGGAGTCAGACACCCAGAAGCTTGGACAAGGCAGTGGGAATCAGGAACAGAAACCATGGCAGGGCAGCAGTGACATATTTGTGTACTGATGACAACAAATATATTTGTTTCCACTCCCCTCCACCCTCTCCCAGCCACTCGTTACTCAAGGCCTGCCCCAAGCCAGTTCCTGTACACAATCCCCATCAAGGGAGGGAGACCATAATTTCCAAACCACCCCACCCAGTGCTTGCAGAAGCATCACTTACATTGACTATAAAAGGCACAACAAGCATGACCAGGATGAGCTCCAGCTGGGGGTTTGGGATGTAACCCAGGAGGATCTGCTGAAGCTGCAGAGGAGAAAGCATTTGGAAACGTTATTTGAACAGCTCTCTGTTGAGAGATCAACACTGAGATGTGACACTACATGGGCTACTCCTTTAGCCCAGCTGCCAAACACAGGATTTTGTACAGATCAAGATAGAAGTACCCCTAGTCTTTCACTTTAACTGCCTGTGACAACTGGTGGGACAACCCTTGGCTCCTTGGAGCCTAGCTGCAAAATGAGGACACCAGCCATGTGTGATAAGTGTGGAGAGGAATCCAGCAGCATCTCTGGCTCCAGCAGCGTGTGCTGCTGAACAACGTGTCCATGTCCAAGTCAGAACTGTAGGCTACTGGGTTAGAAGGACAAGCTCTTAACAAGAACAGTAAGCGCTCCCAGACTGCTGTAAACAGCTCCTCAGTCAAGCCAAAGTCACATCAGCCTGTGAGGAACTCACCACAGGTGTTACCCATCAACACCCAGAATGGCTTTTTATACCCATCACACCTACCTGCCACCAGGTATGTGGCTACAACTACCAGATTTATTTATGGGTTTTAGGTTTTTTTGAAGAGAAGCTCACAGCCAACACAATTACCCCTGATTGAGCCACCATACAGAAGCAGCTGTGGGAGGGAAGGACAGCATACTACTGGGACAGCTCTTTCCAAATTAACCTCTAGAAGTCCACCTAGTTTAGGCATGGGATCATGAAACACCAGCATGAACTGACCTGAGGAGAAAATGTACAAATCCTCTGGCAGAACTGAAGCAGCTCAGCTGCCAGCCCAGCCCATTTTATCCTTCCAAGGATTTTATCCTATCCATCCTTCCAAGGATGGAAAAGAAAATTAAAGCAGCATCTTATTCCACTAGCTTTGATTAGGAAGAGAATGCACCAAAAGCCAAACTATTAGGAAAGTCATGTTTCCCCAAACTTAAGTAATAGCTAATGATTACAGAGAAATGTCAACAAGTTGTAAGGGCCAGACCTATGATGATTGGGACCTCTAGTAAGGCAAAGCTGACAAGAAAAAAGCCACAACAGTAATGGCTAGAAAAACACAGCTCAGGAGCTTACCTTCGTCCAACCAGGGATAAGCAGGACAAGGCTAATGACAGTCTTCTCAAAAACCATTATCAGCAAGTAGAGGATACATTGCCCAATCCAGGCAGCAGCTTGTGGAGGGTCACCTGGGAAAACAGCATATTAAATCTGAGACAGAGGACAGGAGGAGAAAAAGCCTTTCAGAAAAACTGCCTTGTGCTTGATACCTTAGCTGATACCTTCCTTAACAGGGAAGTGTTTCCATATCGCAAGTTTTGCAGTGAGACAGATACTCAACATCAAACTTAAAATTAGTGGAGAGATTGTCTACAGTTGTAGGAGCACATGTCTGGGGTAGAAGAGTTTGGGTTCCCTGCTGAATCTACAAATCTGTTGAAGATCAAAACATACCCAAGTCTAAGCTAAAACCTTTCTAGTTTAAAAGAAAAAGTAAATATTACTTGTATTAGAGAAAATTTAGCAGACTTGCCTTGCCTCCTAGTTGCAGCTCTTTTTGCAACTTTGCAAATTTATGTAGAGAAATAAGTGCAGAAAAGCAGAACTTCCAGTTGTGCACTGTACCAGAGCAGCAGCTTTTGTCTTTCATACTGCAGTTGTGCTTTTGAATTCAATTTGGCTAGAAACAAGAGACATCTCCCTCATGAGACACCACATACCCCACTACCACCACTGGCCTTTTGTTCTAAAAGCTGATCCTTTTTTGACTCCTTTTAGGGCTGATTGTGAAATGGGGATGGCAGTTAATCAGAGCTCTGGTTAATTTGAAGGACAAACAAATAACAGAGCAATTTCAGACACAACTGAAGAAGCCCTGCCTACCTTACAGATCTTAACACTGTATTTATCTGCCTCCTCTCCTGCTCTCCTTTCCACCAACCTGCCTCTGAGATCCATCAAGAGCAGAAAACCACCACCAAAAAACTTCTCTTACATCACCTTCCCCCTTGCCTTTCCTTTCTAGATCAACTACTTGGCTGAAGCAAAAGTCCTACAGGCAGGCAGCTTCTGTAAAAGGGGAGAGACACAGCTCTGGCTCTGCCTGGAGACCTGAAATTCCCCATCCTTGTCCAGCAACTCCTGCACTTGCAGACACTTCTGGGGTCTCAAGGGCCACAGCTCAGCAGCAATGGGAACACCATTCCTGGGAACTCTCAGGAGACTGGAACAACTTTGATAAATTTTTACTTGGATAACAAATATGTTCTCCCCCCCTTAAGAGAAAAGATGCACAGAGCCCTGGAGACAAATTTTTTCCTCTTAGTATTTCCATTATCACCCCCTCTTGGTGCTGAGCTGCTTTGAGCTGGATGGACACAGGGTCTTGAGGGGAGGAAGCCCTGCTTGTAAAGGGTGCAAGTATCCCCTCTCCTCAAAACACAGAACAGGAAAATCCTTTATATATAGAAAGCTTGATAACTCAGAAAATGGTTCCTTACACACATACACACATTGCTTTGGGGCATCAGTTGTTTTCTTGGGCCTTTTTCTGGTGCCTTTTTGTCAGGGCACTAGAGATTTAATTTCTCTTCACCCCAGCAAACCTAGAGAAGTCCACAGAGGCAGGTTGTCCCTGCTTCCAATAGTTAGAAGTGTCATAGGAGCAGCTCACAAAATCCTGCCCCTTTTTGACCAGAATGTCAGACTCCATAATCCTGACTGATAATCCTTCCTGAATTTAAACTACTCCCAATAACAATTCTCAAGAGAAAATACTGCTGGAATGACCCTCCTCGATACAAGTCACCACCCTGCTCACTCCTCTATTAAAAAATTTAATCACCTGCCAAATTCTCTGCCAAGCTTTGCCTACTCAGTTGCCAGCAGCAGTCTGAAGATTTCTGGTCAGCATTTTCAATGCAAACAGCAGAAGCTTTCACTCCTAAACAGAACCAATTTTTTTTTGCTGATGAAGTGAATGGCTGGGTATGTGATCCTCTGTCTGAGCAAGAGACAGGGGCTCCATCACTCCAGGTTTTAGAGCAACTCACTCAAAAAGAATCAATACTAATTAAATACAAATGTTTCCAACGGGGTACTTATCAAGTAGTAAGAAAAAGCAGATTTGTACTGTTAACAAGGATAATGGTCCTGTATCAGTTACATGTGCTTGCTTCAGCCCCCTGTAAGCACTGCCAGCTGGTTATCACCTTCCCAGCCTCATCAGAAAATCTCAGCTCTGCAAAACTGAGCTACAGTATCTGGCTTAGGAAAACTGTGGCATTTCCTCTTACCACTTGAACCCAAAAGATAAACCCTGGCAACACTTGTTTCCAGCATGATCAGGCCAGAATTGGGGATTGTATCTGTGCTCAGCAACAGACTGAGAGCTCTGCTCCACTTCTCCCAGCATGATACTGCTAAGACGTGGCATGGAAAGACACCAGTAGTTTGCAAAAGCACATTTATCCAAACCACTACGCAAACCTCCAGGCAGAGACCAGCAGCACATACCAGGATTTAGTAAGAGCTGGTATCCAACCAAGCCCAGCTCTAAGGGGGATCTGCTTCCCAGCAAGGGCAAAACAGGTTTGCGTGTGTATTTGTCCTTATTCTGTCATTTTGTTAGCAACATACCAAAACATTTGCCTCATTGCAAAGCTACAGCTGAAAAGTAGAGGCATCCAGTTCATGTCTCCATGCCAGAGAACTCAGAGCAATCACCTTGCATCCCAACTTTTTAATTGCTCGAGCCACAAGCACAAAGGAAGCAAAGGAAGGGAGAGGGAAGGAGCAAGAGGCCAGGGGTGCAGACAGGCTGCTGAGCTGGGAGGATAGAAAGCAGAAAGTGTCAGTGCAGCAGGCAATTGCACAGAGGGGGGGAAGGAAGAGGGAGCCAGGAAGGTTAGGCGTGAGTGCACCCAGCAGAAGCCGCAGAGGAGCGCGGGAAGCACGTGGCTCCGCTCCCTGGCAGGGAACAGCTTCATGGGTGGGCTCTGGAGGAGACAGGAGCAGTACTAGAAGCAGCTGGCAATTAAAGGCTGGTGTCAGAGAGGCTTTAATCCTCCTGAAGCATGGGCAGCCTTTCCCAGTAGAGTCAGGTGCCTGGTTGTCTTTGGCACAGGTCTAGTACAGTGGGGCTTTGTGACCCACTACCCCAAGACAGACCGATCCTCCTCCAAGCCCCCATGTTACCAGCTCCCATCAGAGCTCAGAGTACAAACAAAACAGGAAAACAAACATATCCATCATTTCCTTTCTGCATTTGAACTCTTCCCCTTTTGCTCTGTGTTGTCAGCTGTGCTCCATCCCCCATGGGGTGACAAGACTAACAGCCACAGCACCCTTTACAAGTCAGCTTTTCTGTGCAGCAATTGCATGTGGCACTTGGGGAACACTCATCTCAGCTTGTCCAGAAAGCAACAGCAAGTTTGAGATCTCCCCCAAAAACCTGCCTCCTCACACCCCTAGGAGGTAGGAAGTAATGATCATTCATCATCACAAACAGCTACTGTGCATTTGACAGCCCTGACCCTCAACAAGCCATCTCTGCAGACAGGTTTTGGCTAACCAGCCTGGTACACAGACACTACAAGAGACAATCTACTTAACCAAGGCACCCTAGGCATAGACTTAGCTGTGTCTCCAAGGTTAACAGCTCCTCATCCAAAAGATTCTCCCTTTCCCTTTCAGTTACCAAGAATGCCATCAAACTGCTCTTCAGTTTTCTTGAGGTTTGACAACATCTGGAAAAGAAAAACCTTTTCTCCCTTCCCCAGAGAACAGTTTTTACTGTGCAACTGCAAGATCCCACCCAAGGAACCTCACTTCTCCAAGGAGAGAGGTCTGCCTCAGTCAGACCAGCTTCACTGGTCACCTGTACATGGCAGATACAAGTGGTACAGTAAAGCCCACGCTACCGAGTGGGACAGAACCTGCACCCCTTACTACCCTCCTTGTCAAAGCAGATACAAGATACAGCAAAGCCCACACTACCAAGTGGGACAGACCTGCACCCCTTACTACCCTCCTTGTCAAAGGTGCCTCCCTCACAGCATGGAGCTTCAAATACTCATTTTTCTCTCTCTGGTCTTTTCTCCATCACCTACAGAAGATGCTGTCAATCTCCTCCACAGTTAGAAGGACACCAGCACTTCTTACATGTCCAGGGTAGACAGTGGAAGGGTATGGAAAGAGACTCCCAGACCTACGGCCAGGACTGGCCATCTCCTCTGTCACCTTAAGCAGCTCAAAATTGCTACTGTTTTGTAACCTCTTTCTTCTCCTTTTCCATTCTAAGCTTTGTTTTCAGACTATGGGATGAGATGTTTATACACAGGAATCCATCCTGGAACACAGAAAGCAGCCTGATACCCCTGGCCATTCAGAGGTGTTGAAACTAGATGAGCTTTCAACCCAAACTATCCTATGATTCTATGATTCCTTACCTCAGCAGGTTTAAAGTCACTCAAGGACCATTGATCTACCTCAGAGAGACCATCATCCAAGTCTAACTCATCATTAATTCATCTAACTCTGACTAATGCCAGTAACATACAAGTCACCATCTATTAGCATCTCATTAGATAAGAGGGAACCTTTGGTGTTGTCCCTGGACAAACCTGTAAGAGAAACAGGCCACATCATCTCTTCCTTCCACAGTTGGGAAGCAAGCCTGGAAAACCTGAGCTGATTCCAGCTGACCACACACCTCATTTAGGTGCTGGCTTCCTACAGCAAGATGGTCAGAGGCATCCCTAGATGGAATTAAATGTCTTTAATGGATCAAGTGCCATCCAGAAGTGCCCTGTCCATGGTTGGGAAGGAATTCTTCTTACATCAAGTTTCTCCATTACATAAATCTAGGTAAGTGCCTACCAGAGAATGGGTTTTGCTGGCTGGCAATCTACTCTCTGGAGACTAAAACCAAACAGATGTTCTCCTCATTGCTGTATCCAAAGCTTTGCCTTTCCTTGTAAAAGAGGGGAACCACATCTGTTAGATGACATCAAGTATCATGCTCCCTTTGAGCACTTCCAGCTTCTTGCCCCCAGTACTAGTGGGAAGGTAACATAGGACATGCCAGGTCTCCTCCATCAACTTCTCCTTCTAGCTTGATGAACACTCTTTGCTCAAACCTTCTCATAGTTACTTCCCTCTCTGATAAAAATAACTATCCTCCTTCACC